AGCCGTTCCTGGACTCCAGACTTTGTCCCTCGGTTTGGCGGCTGCCCTTCCTGGCATGAAACGCAGTCTGTTTCCTTGGGGCTGTCAGCATGGTCTGTGTTGGCGTCTGTTGGATGCCAGCCCTTAAGTGTATCCTCATCCCGTGTCGCCCTGGGTGCCAGTGTGGCTTGGGGTGCCCGCGAGCCCCTCCACTGAGGATGTTAGCTGGTGTGACATTCCTGCGTGTGCCTGAGGCCGGGGAAGGGTGTGAGTGTGGCTTTGAGGTCTGTGGGACACGCATGCCTGAAAGTGTGCAGAAGTGCGGGGAGCATGTGTCAGCGTCCCGTCCCGGCCTGCGGTGGGGAGTGAAGGTGGCCTGTGTGCCTGAGGCGCCTGAGGCGGCGCTGCTCCCTCTGGCCTGGGAGGCCCCTCCCACGTCAGCTGTGTAAACAAAGCCCCTGCCTTCCTTTCTGAGGCCCCTTTAGGGTTGTCTTCCCCTCCCTCTCCCTTCCCCTGCCCCCAGCAGTGGGCTTGATTGACTGTGTGGGGTTGAAAGGTTGTGAGGTTATATAACTGGGTGTGAACTGAAGGGTGCCCGAGGGTCCCTGGCCAACACCAGCCTCTGGGGGGGAGGCCCGGGGCCGGTTGGGGACCCCAGGCCCTTGCATAGAGCTCTCCCAGGTGCCTGGGCGGTTCACCCACCCTTTTATAGCCAGGCTTGGCGGCAGCCCTGTAATTAGCCTGGGCCAGACACTGTGGTGAAAGCTAAGAATTTGGCAGCTGACCCTTCAGGGGAGGGGCAGGCTCTGCACCCCCTGCCCTGCCCAAGTCAGAGGTCAGATGCCCCAGGGTCAGATCCCAGGCCGGCCAACCCAACCCAGGTTCTGCCTGAAGCTGCTCTTCCTGCTCCAGGCCCAGGTGTCTCTGGCTGGCCTGGTCCCAGCACATCTGGACCTTTCCCCGCGTCAGCACCACACTTCCCTGCCTGTGTGGCCCCACCACTTCCCACCGGTGTCTTTCATCCCCCCCCCCCCCCCCCCCAGCTCATGTCCTTCATCCCCACCTGTGTCCCTGTGTCCCAGCCTGTCTCCTGGTCCTAGTTCATGTTCCTTCATTCCAAACCGTCTGCTTCCAGCCATGTCACCATCACATCCAGCCCATGACCATGTCCCTCCAGCCCAGCCCAGGCCTGAGTTTGCCAACTGGGCAGAGAAAAGAGGCTGAGGCTTTGGGGCTGAGTAGCTCCAAAGGGCTGAACAGGTGTGAACTGGGCCCAAGTCCACTCCCAACCCCTTCGTCTCTAGAACTGGAGGGAGGGCGAGAGGGGGAAGGGGAAGAGAAATGCTAAGATGGGGGGGTGGGCTGGGACCTCCCCGTCCTGCCCCAGGCCTGAGAATAGTCTTAGCCTAGCACTTCCTCCAACACAGCCCCCTGCTCCCCTCAAGGGCCAACACCTGCCCCTGTGCACCCCTGTTGACTCAAGAAACATCCAAACCTGTAGATAGTTTTTAAAAATAATTTTATTTTTAATTACAGTTGACATACAATATTATATTAGTTTCAGGTGTACACCCCAGTGATCAGACATTATAAAACGCATTAAGTGATCATCCCAAAGAACCTCATTCCTATCTGACACCATACATAGTTATTAGAATATTACAGACTGTATTCTCTAGCTGTACTTTATACCCCCACGACTATACTATAACTACTAATTTGTACTGCTAAATCCCTTCACCTTTCCACCCATTCCCTCAACCCCCTCCCATCTGGCTACTGTCAAAATATTCTCTGTATTTATGAGACTGTTTCTGTTCTGCTTGTTCATTTATTTTGATTTTTAGATTCAATTGTTGACAGGTATGTATTTATTGCCATTTTATTCATATTTTTTTCTTTTTCTTCTTCTTAAAGAAAACCCTTTAACATTTCATGTAATATTGGTTTTGTGGTGATGAATTCCTTTAGATTCTTCTTGTCTGTGAAGCTCTTTATCTGACCTTCAGGTCTAAATGATAGCTTTGCTGGGTAGAGTCATCTTGGTTGTAGGTTCTTGCTATTCATCACTTTGAGTATTTCTTGCCACTCCCTCCTGGCCTGCAAATCTGTTGAGAAGAAATCAGCTGACAGTCCTAAGGGCGCTCCCTTGTAGGTAACTAACTGCTTTTCTCTTGCTGCTTTTAAGATTCTCTCTTTGTCTTTAACCCTTGGCATTTTAATTATGATGTGTCTTGGTGTGGGCCTCTTTGGATTCATCTTGTTAGGGACATTCTGCACTTTCTGGACTTGTATGTCTATTTCTTTCATCAGGTAAGGGAAATTTTCTGTCATTCTTTTTTCAGATAGGTTTTTAATTTCTTGTTCCCTTTCTTCTCCTTCCAGCACCTCCCAGATGCAAATTTTGGTACACTTGAAGTTGTCCCAGAGGCTCTGCTTACACTATTTTATATTTTTCATTCTTTTTCCTATTTGCTGTTCTGATTGGGTGTTTTTTGCTTCCAAATCACTGGTAAAATTCTCGCTGTCCTCTACTATTGTTTCCCTGTAAAATATTTCAGATCGTGTACCCTTCATTCCTGACGGGTCCTTGTTTATGTTGCTGATGTTCTCACTAAGCTCCTTGAGCATCCTTGTCAGCATTGTTTTGAACTCTGTATCTGGTCGTTTGCTTGCTTCCATTTCATTTAGTTCTTTTTCTTTTTTGGGGATTTCTTCTGTTCTTTCATTTACGACATGTTTGTCTCCACATTTTGGTTGCTTCTCTGTGTTTGTTTTCTGTAGTAGGTAGAGCTGCTATGTTTCCTGGACTTGGTCGAGTGGTCTAATGTAGTAGCTGTCCTGTAGGGCCCAGTGACTCAGCCTCCCCAGTCACTGAGCTGGGCACTCCAGGTGCGCCTCTGTGTGGGCTGTGTGTACTGTCCTGCTGTCGTTGAGCCTTGATTGCTGTTGGTGTCACTGGGAGGGATGGACCTCCAGGCCAATCAGCTGTGACTACAGTGGGAGAGCTGCTGTGCAGGAGCCAGCCCAGGCTCCATGTGGCTTCTTCTTTAATTCCCTGGTGGTAGGACTTCCATTCAGTCAGATTCCACGTGGTTCTGGACGATGGTGGTTCTGTATTTCCATGGTAATTGTGGTGTGGCTGTGGGAGGGGGCGAGTACTGCATTTACCTACACCGCCATCTCGACCAATCTTCCAAATCACTGATAAGATTCTCGCTGTCCTCTACTCTACTGTTGTTTCCCTGTAAAATATCATTTCAGATCGTGTACCCTTCATTCCTGACGGGTCCTTGTTTATGTTGCTGATGTTCTCACTAAGCTCCTTGAGAGAATTTATATAAGAGTTTGCTTGCGTCAAACGGAAGACATATACCAGGGAGCAAGCTCTTGAATGCTCCTGAGAATAATAGTTTACCCTGTAAAATATCATTTCAGATCGTGTACCCTTCATTCCTGACGGGCCCTTGTTTATGTTGCTGATGTTCTCACTAAGCTCCTTGAGAGAATTTTTAGAGTTTGCTTGCGTCAAACTGAAGACATATACCAGGGAGCAAGCTCTTGAATGCTCCCGAGAATAATAGTTTTGAAACTTCTTTTATGCGTTTGAGGGTGAGGAGGAAACATGAGAAAGATTACACGGAGGTGGGGAAGGCAAGGTGGGGATTGGATTACAGGATGCTTAACAAGATTATCCACTCTCTTGAGGGTGGTTATGGCTTATTTCAAAGGTGTGTTAACCTAGATACTCCAGAGCAATGGACAGGGCTTGCTTAAGGCAGAGATAAACCATTTACTAAAGAAGTTATATGTGATGGAAACAAATAATTTTTAAAAAAAGAACTTATATGCCTGGGGCATGACTACCTACCGCGAACTGCCCAGTTAGAAGTTTAGATCACATGGCCCCGTGAAGTTACTCCCCATGGAACCCCTTTTGTCCGCGCCCCCAGCCCAGGGGACAAGGCTTGAACCCAAACTGAAATGCAGATGTCCCTGCTCTTTTCCCCGACCCACAGCAAGGCTAGGTGGCCTCCCCCGGAAGAGGAGGGCCTGGTTCTGAGCCTGACTCCTCAAGCCAACATCTGTGCTCGGTGTTTGTTGTTGCTGTTTTTTAAAAAATATATATTTTTATTGATTTTAGAGAGGAAGGGAGAGGAAGGGAGAGAGAGATAGAAGCATCAATGAGGAGAATCATTGATTGGCTGCCTCCTACATGCCCCCATTAGGGATCAAGCCCGCAACCTGGGTGTATGCCCCCGACCGGGATCGGACCTAGGACCCCTCAGTCCACAGGCTGACACTCCATCCGCTGAGCCAAACCAGCCAGGGGGTTGCTGTTGTTTTTTACCCTGGGGAGGGCAGCGGGGGGACGGGGTCCCTGTGAAAGCCTCTGGGAGTGCCAGCCTGTGTTGCTATGAGGCCCTTGTGGAGGCGGCCAGAGGAGACACAACAAGGAGGAGGACAGGCCTGCTCAGGGTGGGCAGGAGGCCCTCCTGGGGCACAGCTCACTGACCTTTCTTGCCTGAGGGCCCTGGGCTTCCGGGTAGGGACAGCACAACCACAAAGTGCCCAGGCTCTGGGATACCACCCGGCATTAGCGGACTCTCAGGGCACCTGGCTCAGGTGTGTGGGAGCAGGAAGGAGGTGGCCGAGCCTGGCCTTTCCCTTCCCTGTCCTGTCCTGTCGCCATCTGCCTCCCTCCCCGCGATATCCCACTCAGCCGCACAGCCAGTGCTATTCTGTTTTGTTCCGGTCTATCCCACCCTGTAGGCACTGAGTCTGCACTGTGGGCCCTGCCCTACCCTCCCCCCACCCCCAGGCCCTGCCACTGGTGTCATCTCACGTCTGCCTTGGCCAGGACACCGGGCTGTGCAGACCTTGGTGCCAGGGCTCAAGGTCGCTGGTCTCTGTCTACCTACGGGCTGACCCCTCACCCAGTCTGTCTATCGAAATGCTCCCCTCACCTCACTTGCCTTTGTGCTCTGAGGCCTGAAGCCTTGTCTGAGGGGAGATCCCAGCAGGACCCGAGCTTCCTGAAGCCCCAGCCTCACGGCAAATGAACAGGGATCTCAGGTAGGGGGTGCCTCCTCCTTAACGGTGAGGTTTCAAACATCAGCCCCTGGTTCCTGGGAAGGTGCATCACAGGATGAAAAAAAAAAAAGGTGGGGGTCACGACCCCGCGTCCCCGTCCTGGCTCTGCCACGAACGTCTGAGTGACGCAGGCAAATCACTTGCTCCGAATGAGCCTCGGTTTTCCCATCTAGAATGTGGGGTTCAGATCAGCTCGCCTGACCCCTGTCTGAGGTCCTGTGATGTCTTTCCCCCGAAACTCTGAGTAGCTTTGCTGGAGGGTGAAGGAGGCAGTGGGGATCGTGGAAAGGGTTGCAGGTGTTGGTGCAGGTTCCAGTGGTCCAAGCCCGGTGACAGGCAGACCCACTCTGAATGCCAGCTTACCAGGACGTGTGACCCTAGCAAGGGACACAGCCCCTTACACTCCGTTTTCCCATCTGTGCTTTGGGGTGGTCAGGGTGGTCAGGCTCCCAAGGGCACACTGCTCACAGGCTCAGGGAGCACTGGGCGCAGTGCCTGGCACATAGTAGGTGCTCAGTAAATGGGAGCGGCTCGTCCTAGTTCCTGACTGCAGGTGCCTGCCTTTGCCCAGTCTTCCCGTTCCTGGAGTTTGAATCCACGAGGCCCTCCCCTCTCAGCCAGCCACACTCTGTCCCACCAGGCCCTGGGATCGAGGGAGCCTGCAGCCTAGGCCAGTGGTAGGCAAACCGCGGCTCGCGAGCCACATGCGGCTCTTTGGCCCCTTGAATGTGGCTCTTCCACAAAATACCACGTGCGGGCGCACACGTACAGTGCGATTGAAACTTTGTGGCCCGTGCACAGAAGTCGGTTTTCGGCCTGGGCAAGTCTATTTTGAAGAAATGGCGTTAGAAGGAGTGGGCGTGTCAGTCGGTGGGGCAACAGGCGACGGGATATGCAGCGCGGGGGGAGGTACATTGTTTTGAGGTACGTTCGCTGAGGTCGACCCCTTCCAACTCTCCCATCCACACTGGTCTATCTGAAAATACTTGTTTCAGATAGACCAGTGTGGATGGGAGAGTTGGAAGGGGTCGACCTCAGCGAACGTACCTCAATCAGATTGAGGACGTTTTTAGCCAAGGCCAGCTTAGGAGTACCCTAATTAAGTTAATAACAATGTACCTACCTATATAGTTTAAGTTTAAAAAACTTGGCTCTCAAAAGAAATTTCAATCGTCGTACTGTTGATATTTGGCTCTGTTGACTAATGAGTTTGCCGACCACTGGCCTAGGCCCACTGCTGTGGCTCCTTCATGGGACAAACCCCCCTCCTCAGCCTTCAGGCCCTCAAGACCCTACCCTGTGGGGCCGCGGCTGCGTGTGCCGCCTCCTCCCGGCAGCCTCCTCCCTGTGTCCCCAGGTGAGAGTGTCCCGCAGCCTCTGGCGTTTCACCTCCTGGTTACATGGTCACACGTGTGTTACTCCTCCCCATCAGCACACGCTCAATGATGAGCGCATTCGAGGGTGGAGACCCTCTTCTGTGTCCCCACCACCCAGCATAGAGCCTGCGCTCAGCAGGTGCCCCACCAATGCCCACCATCGATTGGACGAATGGGCCTCCCTTTGCTGTCTTGTCTCATCTGGTGCACTGGCTGGCCCCGGTTCTTTCCCCATCTGTCCTCCCATCCTCACCCCTCCCTGCTCTGCCCGTGGGAGACCTACTCAACCCTCCAGGGTACGGCTGAAATTTAATTTCCCATGAGTACCGAGGAGGAGAGACACAGGACCTGTGCCCAGGGACTCCCACAATGCTGCTGGCAAGAGCCCCCGGGGCACCCAGGAGGGCACTCACCCAGGACCCACACAGTGACAATTAGAGAGCCTGGCTGAGATGGAGTCCCCAGGGTGCACAGCTTGGCACTGAGGAAAAGGCACCCCCTCTCCCTGGGCAAGCAAAGGCTCGATAGACGTTGGTCCCTATCAGCACGCCCCACGCAGTGCCCACCTGTACACCGGGCCTCACGCAGCCTGGCCAGGGCAGCAGCGCCTCCGAAGCAGCCGTGGGCTTCTTCCCCCTCCCCTCCTGTCCCCACTCACAGGCTGACCGGTGCGTGCGGCCCCAGCACCAGCGAACTCTCAGCCCTTTGGCCACAACATCTTAAACAAATAAAATAAATTTACAAAGGAAACCAATTATATTGAAACAGTTATCAAAGCATTTACTTGTTTTGGCATAGTAATATATAGGTTTTTATTAACACGGTAAAAACAAGGAAGGTCTAATAACTAACTACCTTGTCATTTCAAAGTAGTGTGGAGAGTAAATGCTATTTTGAGATATCTCCAAAAACTATAATGCAGTTGGAAAACATCTATGATTTCTGTTGGTTATGAAGTCACAGGCACTGTTAACTATTGTGGCTTGTTGCCCGAGTACATAAGAGAAGGTTAAATTTTAGCTACAGGTGAGTAAAAATAAAGATATAATTTCCTTCCTATCTAGGTTCACACCCTGAAGTGGAAAGGAGAAATTCGTCATTGATTGAGCCTTATACTCCTGCATTTAATCCTTACACTGACCCGGACAGAGATGTATTATAACCCAGGTTTTCTTTTTAATTGATTTTTTTTTCTTGAGAAAGAAACATAGATTTGTTGTCCCACTTATTTATGAACTCCTTGGTTGATTCTTGTATGTGCCCTGACGGGGGACTGAACCCGGAAGCGTGGTGTATCTAACAGTGGAGCTACCCGGCCAGGGCTGTACCCAGGATTTCCTCATGAGATACTTGAGGCTCACAGACGTTGCCCAAAGTCATCCAGGCCCAGCTGGGCAGCCCCTGTTGCTCCTTCCACACAGAGCTGCCTCCTCAAGGTAAGTTACAGAACACGGTGTGCAGTGGTCCCGTTGGCCCTAGAATACCCTCCCCCACAAAGGCCCTGTGTCTAGTGTACAGAAGGCTCATGAGCCCTGGAAGTCACACACACTTATTTTTATCTCCAGTTTATTTTTTTAGACTAAGAGCAAGAGTATGAAAGTCACAGCCAAAGCACTTGAAAAAGGCCCAGGAGGGTGGGTGGGGACCACAGAGGATGGACAGAGTAAGGTCCTGGGAGCTGGGTCCTGGCTCAGGGCTGGAGGGGGAGGGCGTTGTTGTCTCACGGTCTCCAAAAGTGTCTGTGCGTTGCATAGGTCTTGTCTTCACAGAAGACACAAGAGGGGCCAGGGGGTCCCCCAGTGGGGGGCCTAGCCTGGTGGGGAAGGGGTCTGAAGTTGGAAGGGGAAGTCAAGGAAGGTCAGGGGGGTGAGGAGGGGAGGGACTCTGTCTGTCTGTACATATATATAGAGATATAGAGCTGTACATGCCTGCCTGGCACCCCAGTGCCCACCCCTTGTCACCCTTTTCCACTGCCCACCCCCCCAGGGGTGTCTACTTGTAAACTTGGATTCCATCCAAACCACAATCCTGGGAGTGGGAGTGGGGGGGGGGAGGAGGACGTGCTTATTGCTGTAAACAGGGTAAGGGGGCAGCGGGTGATGCCACCCCCTCGCCCATCGAGTCCCCTCCCTGTGTTCTGCCCCTGGAAGAGAGGGGTGGGGTGTCTCCCACGCTTCAATTTGCTCTCTTTGGGGCATATGTGTCTCTGGGGGGACAAAAGAGGAGGGCACCAGGGGTCAGGGAGTCCTGAGCACTACCTTTTATGGCCCCCCAGTTCGGTACCAAACATTACCCAAGCCATAAGGCCACTGGGACCCATGGCCTCCCTGTGCCTGGTCCACTACAGTGACACGTGGAGGGAGGGGGCAGAAGGGATGGGCACAGATGTATGGTGCAGACCCCACTTTCAGCCACTGGAGGAGGGTCTAGGCCTCTGGGCTAGGCTTCCCTTGGAGAGGCCAAAGTCTCCCTATCTGGGCCGCCCCCGCCCCATCGCCCCCATCAAGGGAGGGAGCAGAGCTAGGAGGCCAAGAGTGTCATGAGGAAGAAGGCGATGCCCACCGCGAGGGGCAGGTGTTCCCGCTTGGGGCTGGTCCCGCTGATGCTCTTCTCAAGCTTGGGCACCTGGGGGTTCTCTCCCTCAAAGTCTTCTGTGGAGAGATGAAGAGACAGACAGATAAGGGCTGGGCTGCGC